GAGGGAGAAGCTGCCGATGCTGGAGCTATAGCAGGAGTAGGAGAAGGGACCTGGTGAGTCATGGCCTTGGCTGCAGCAAGGGAGACAAGGAGGAGGGTGTGGGAGGACACGGGGGTGACTGACTTGACGGCTGGAAGTCATTCCTGAGACCAAGAGACCTGGGGAAGGGCTGATAAGGGGTTCCATCGGCCAGACTGATGGACACGGGGAAGGGCGGTGGGCTTCCTTTGAACACAGAAGCCCTCATTGCCGTGGGCTGTGTGGCCTCCCCTTTCTCCACCCCGTTCTGGCTACTCTGGATGGGAGGTCCACAGCTGACTCCTCCAGTTCTTCTGGGGCTCTGCGTGCAGGCTGCCGCTCCGGCCTTAGGAAGAGTCCTGCAACACAACTTCCCAGGGCGCCAAGAAACAAGCAAGCACCATCCAGCTTGTGTTACCAAAAAAGGACATTTTCTCCCTTTGAAGGTTTGCCCGGCTCGTTCCCTCCTCCGCCTGACCTGGGGTTTCAGGTTTCCAGGGAAGTGTTTCTGGAAAGTGTAGGAGTTTGAATTGCATGCCTGTGTGTATAGGCAAATATGAACCTGGGGATATGCACGTACCACACTCTGTCTTGATGTCATAAACCTCATTGTCCTCCTTCTCCTTCTCTCCTTCACCGCCACCTCCTCCACTGCCACCTCCATCACCACCGCCTCTGCCATCACCACCACCAACACCACCATCACCTCCTCCACCACCACCATCACCACCTCGACTACCACCTCCTCCACTGTCCCCTCCATCACCACCACCACCATCGCCATCACCATATCACCATCACCTCCACCACCACCTCCATCACCACCACCAACACCACCACCATCACCTCCTCCACCACCACTATCACCTCCATCACCACCTCGACTACCACCTCCTCCACCGCTACATCCATCACCACCACCACCATTGCCATCACCACACCACCATCATCTTCACCACCACCACCTCTACCATCACTACCACCATCACTACCATCACCACCACCATGACCACCAACACCATCACCTCCTCCATCACCATCACCTCCTCCACCACCACCATCACCTCCACCACCTCTACCACTACCATCACGACCACCGTCATCACCTCCTCCACTACCATCTCCCCCACCACTGACACCACCACCTCCAGTCAGTCCCGTCCTGGCCCAAACACTTCCCTATGCTGCCTCTTAACTCGTCAGTTTTCACCACCTCTCCAAGAGGGGAGAATTACGATCTCCATTGTACAGATGAAGAAACTGGGGCACAGAGAGCTAGGGCCACTTATCCACAATCCTAGAGGCACCGTGTGGTTGGGACTAGGGTGACGTGACCAAGGCCATGCAAAAGCACAGGGTCTTATCCAGTCTTTATTTAAATTTTATTCATAGTTTGTTCATTAAGGATTTTTTGGCGTTATTTTTGACTTCTAGAAATAGTGCTTTAAAATATTGTTTTATCTTGCTTACTAAGTTTTTGCATCCTCCTAACTTTTGAACCTGAGGTGAATGCATCACTTATCTACCCTAGCACCAGCCTTGGCAGAGCCAAAGTTGGAATCCAAAGCTAGGCTCTGGACTCGTCCCTGTGCCACCCCTTCTGCCTATACCTGGGTGCGGCACGAGCTCACTTACATATTTTTTTTCTTAGAAGTAAACTCTACACCCAGTGTGGGGCTTGAACTCACGACCCCGGGATCAAGAGTCAAATGCTCTATGGCTGAGCCAGCCAGGTGCCCCGCGTTTGTGTCTTCTTTCCTTCAGTAAACATTACTGTGGCAAGGTGGCATCGTAGAGGGGAGGGCCTGGAGATCAGACAGTTCTGGGTCCTTCCTTCACTGCTCATTATTGAAGGGATAGCCTGTGGCTCAAGGCACAGACTCTAGGCCCAGAAGGCCTTGGTTTGAAATCTTGCTCTGCCACTTGCTGGCTGTGTAAGTTTGCGTTAGTTCCTTAAAGCCGCGCGCCCTGCATTTCTCCTCTGTAGAGAGGAATGCTGGTACTAACGTCTGCTACCCAGCGTTATTGCGGGGGGAGCGGGGTGTCCAATGAGTTAATTTCCATAAAGCTCGTGGCATGTGGCATGTAGTAAATGCTTTTGAGTGTTAACTCATTTTCCGTCCTTGAGGAGATACCCCTCTGAGCCTCAGTTTCCCCCTGTGTGAAGGCTGAACAGGAAGAGCCACCGCCCAGACTGTTCTGAGGATTGGAGGGGATAACACAGGCAAAGGGCCTCTCACATGGAAGGCGCTTCATGAAAGCTCTCTCCCTTATTTCAGGCCCAATGTTATATACTGGAGACAGGTACAAAGATACAGGTCAAGGCCACGAGGAACTGACTCATCTGCGGTGTGGACACTATGCTGACCTTTTACTTCCCCCAAAGGCACCAAACCCTTGCTCTCTTTCCTCCATCTGCCTCGCTGTCCCCGCCTCTCCTATTATGGATCTAACTTCCGTTTGTCTTCATGTCAACTTAACTGTCACATTCTCCAAGAAACCTTCCCTGACCCCACCCTGCCACCGACCTGTATTGTCGTCCTACTCTACGAGATCACTGCCTTCTCGACTCTTCTTCGATGGCACTGCTCACAATTGCAATCGAAGACCTTTCATTTAATGACCTTTTCTTAAAGACGTTCTGTTGTTCGTTTGCCTTCTTCCTCCCTCACTTCACAGTGAGGACAGGGACGGGGCTTGTCTTACCCACGGGAGTCTCTGTCCTCAGCTCCTGGCAGGTGTGGCACATTTCTAAAGTCATGTTCAAGCTCACAAGCTCTGGAGTCATCTTGCCTGGGTTCAAAATCCCAGCTCCTGCAGTTAAGGACCCTGAGACCCAGGAAAAATTATGTCACCTCTCTGTGCCTCAGTTTTCTTTTCTGCAAATTGTGGAAAATGGTAACAGCATCAGCTTTCCTAAGACGTGATGATGACTGCAGGAGATAAACTGCCTAATTCCTGCCCGTAGAACTGTGCCTGGTCCATCCCCATGGGCCTGTTACTGTTTCAGCAGGTGCTGCTGGCTACACTAACAACTGAAACACACGTCCCCCGAATCTCAGGTGCTTAACACCCAGACACGTACGGTTTGCTTAAATGATCCACGTGGAATATTTAAGTGTAATGCCTGGATGTTCCCCATTCCAGCGTGCAACTCTGCACTATACAGTAATCATTTCTGGACCTAGGTTCCTTCCGCGGTGTTTCTTAATGGGGGGCGGGATTCAGAGTCTATGAACTTGGATGCTGTCTTAGATTAGACTCCCTAGAAGCTGAGCCTGAGGAGGGGATTTTTTTTTTTTTTTTTTAGATTTTGTTTATTTATTTGAGAGAGTGAGTGAGAACGAGCAATAGCGGGGAGGTCGGGGGGAGGCAGAGGGAGAGGGAGAAGCAGATTCCGTGCTGAGCAGGAAGCCCAGTATAGGATTCCAACCCAGGATCCTGGGACCATGACCCGAGCCAAAGGCAGACACTTAACTGACTGAACCACCCAGGCGCCCTGAGGTAGGGATTCTTGAGCAGATGATTTTTTGTTGGTTGGGGGTGCACTCTCTGGAGAGAAGGGGAGTGACCAAACCGGGGTGTGGTCTTACCTGGCCCCATGGTGGGGGTTCTGGAGCCTGGTTTGTACCACTGAACTGGTTCTTCCCGGGGCAAGAGGGGGGCTGGTGGGTGTCATCAGTCGTTAGTTGTGGGCTGCATGGTCGGGGTGGGGGAGGGTACTTTGGCCTCTAGAACAACATGGCTTCTGCAGTTCTCTGGGACCTCGGTGAGCCATTAGCAGCCTGGTCAGGAGCTGGGGGTGGGTGCACGTGCCAGGGAAGGGATCTGGGCAGGGCACTCAGTGTCTATAAAAGATGGAAAAACTATCTTATTTTCACTAACCTCTTACTGAAATGTAGCATTTGCTTCAATTATGGAGGTAGGCAATAAACCACAGTAGTATTCAGGACATCTGTGACTTTGCCACCTGTGGAAATTACATGCTTTCATGTCACATTATTATTGTTGCAGATATCTTTTTTTAGGAAGATTTTATTTTATTTTATTTAAAGATTTTTATTTTATTTATTTGACAGAGATCAAGTAGGCAGAGAGGCAGGCAGAGAGAGAGGAGGAAGCAGGCTCCCTGCTGAGCAGAGAGCCCGATGCGAGGCATGATCCCAGGACCCTGGGATCATGACCTGAGCCGAAGGCAGACGTTTAACCCACTGAGCCACCCAGCTGCCCCAAGATTTTATTTTTTTAAGTAATCTCCACACCCAACATGGCGCTCAAACTCAACGACCCTAAGATCAAGAGCCTCATGTACGCTCTCCCTACTGAGCCAGCTAGGCACCCCTATTGTGGGTATCTTTGAAATATCCTTTCTGCTAATCTGTACTTCAAAATTATTGTGGTTAGTTCACTTGCTAGATACTTTGTTCAATGTGTTCATGAAGAAGAAAATGCATTCTATTACAGATTTGTTCCTCTAATATTTTGGTAATAGCCTGTCGGTATAATGACATCCCTTTGTAATCCTATGTATTTTGTGCATTTTAAAACATCATTCTGAGAAGGGGCCCATGAGTGTCACCAGATGCCAAAGGTCTGTGACACAGAAGAGGTTAAGGTCCCCATTCAGGGGTGTTGGCCTTCCTTCCATTCAAGCAGCAAGAGGGGGGAAGGAGAGGATGTAGAAGATCGCACATGAGGTTTTCACGGTCCAGGACTGGAAACCGCATGCATCGTGTCTTCCCACTGTGCGCCGGCCAGGACTCAGTCACCTGACTGCCCTGATTGCAAGGGGAACGTAGTCTGTCTGTGCACCCAGAAGGAAGAAGGCATGGTCTACGGAGTGCACAGCAGTCTGGCCCACGGGGTTCAGTACATACTCACTGGCAGTCCAAGTGAATGAATGCTATGTGCGGCGTGTCTTTGGTGGGCAGAGGTCTGGTTTTCTGGAGGGATCCTGAGCCTCTACCATGTTGTCTCCTTAGGACAAGCCACGCCAAGGCCAAAGCTGAGGCAGCGGAACAGGCCGCCCTTGCTGCCAACCAGGAGTCCAGCATTGCCCGCACTGTGGCCAGGGAGCTGGCTCCGGATTTCTACCAGCCAGGTAGGGCCAGCCAGGGAGGGGATGGGCAACACAGAGTAAGGGGAGGTCCCGGGGCTGGACCATTTTTTTGTTTTTGTTTTTGTTTTTGTTTGCTTGCTGGAAAGCTGAGATGCCCAAGTGTGTTCACAAATGTCTGTGAGTTCAAGCAACCAGGGAGGGAGGGCAGGTATAGCATGGGATGCGGTGACACAAGGAGACCTGTGCTGAGATTGGGCGGTGGTGCGGTATCAGAGGCTCCTGGTTGTGGACTGGACCTACTCCAGGCTGCCTCCTCTCCCTGCTGCAGACAGGGCTGACAGCTGAGCTGATGAAGCTTAGCGAAGGGAGAGGGCTCCGGATGAGGAGGCAAAAAGCCTTGTGGCTCATCACTTTCAGTCCGCCGGTCTCTGAGTGCTGCCCATGTGTCAGGCACCGTGCTGGGCTCTGCAGTACAAACCCGGGATTCTGGGATCCAGAATCTAGAGGAGCCAAGAATCATGGCAGAATCGGGGAGTGAGGATCAGGGAGTATATTCCCGTCCTGACTCCACTGCCAACCAGCTCAGTGACCTTGTTAAGTCCTTTCACTTCTGTAAACCTCAGTTTTCTGATCTATAAAATGGGAGTAAGAATAATATTTACCTTCCTGGGAGTAAATAATATTTACCCACCCTGGTTGGGTGGGTCAAATCATGTCGGGGAGCACAGAGCCCCCGCCTATAGCAAGCTCTTGGGAACTGTTGGTTCTGTCTCACTGTTACGACTACATTCCGCACAGCGTAAGTTCTGTGTGGCTGGAACAGCGGCTTTGGAAGCTCAGGCGGGCCCTTCACCCAGTCAGGCAGGGAGACCCTAGAGAAGGCCGCCCTCAGGAAAGGCTGTTTGAGCTGAATCTTGAAGGCTGAACGAGAGTTCACCAGGTCAGTGGGTCTCAACACAGCACGCTGGTCCCACCCCCAAGTTTTTGATTCAGTAGATCTGGGGTCCGTGAATGTGCTTTTCTTTTCCTTTAAAAAAAAAATATTTTATTTATTATTTATTTGGGAGATGGAGGGCAGAGAGCAGAGGGAGAGAGACAAGCAGACTCTGTACTGAATACAGAGCCTGACTCGGGGCTCAACCCCAGGACCCCAAGATCATACTGAGTTGGGGGATTAACGGATCGAGCCACACAGCCCCCCTGAATCTGCGTTCCTGACAAGGATCAGGCAGTGCGGAAGCTGCTGGTTTGGGACCATTCACGGAGAATCACGGCCCTTCGCAGGGCTGTGTGGGCGGGGCAGACCCGGAGGAAGGGACTGCAGGTGCAAAGGCACGGAGACTTGGAGCAGAGCAGCAGGCTCGGAGGCTGGAGAGTGGAACAGGCAGGACCCCGTGGGGATGGAGACTTGGTTCCTGGGTGGAGTAGTGGGAGCACGGGGGCTGGGAGGCTGCTGTTCTCCGCATTGGAGGTTTCATGGTGAGTGGCACGATCGGACTTGTATCTAAACGTTATTCTGGCTGTAGCAGGGACACCACAGGGGACCAGTTGCCGGACCGTGGAGCGCAGATGTGTACTTGGGAGGCTAAGTTGCCTCCTGGCAAGGCGCTCCCCCTGCTGGCCCCAGGAAGAGCGACACCTCCCGGCGCTGCCTCCACCCTGGGTGGTAGTAGCAACAGCCGGACCCCGAGCTCCGCATTTTTCATGCATTTTTTCCCACTAACCCTTCCATTAGTATTTATGAAATAGGTACGATTAGGCCATTTTTCAGGTAAGGGAATGGAAGGAAACCAGTGTCGCGGTGAAGATCATAAACTCTGGAGCCGGTCGGACTGGGTGCTGGTCCTGGCTCTGAGCTGGGTGACTTTGGGCAAGTGACGTCACGTCTCTGAGCCTCCCTTTCGTCCCCTGTGAGCACGAGGCCAGTAATAGCACGGACCTCTTAGGGCTGTTAAAAGGCAGCCGCAACGACCTGCTCTTTGGAACCTGCCTGACATAGTGCGGGGCCCACGTTAGACGGTCGGTGGGAAGGTGCCGGCCGAGTCACTAAAGCAGGCTGTGCGAGGTTGAAGGGCTCGCCCAGGGCAGGCGGTGGGACCCGGGTTCAAGGCCAGCCTCGCTGGTTGTCCCCTCCCCCCGGCAGGACCCGAGTATCAGAAGCGCCGGCTGCTGCAGGAGATCCTGGAGAACTCGGAGAGCCTGCTCGAGCCCCCGGAGCGGGGCCCAGGGGCCGCGGGGCCCCCGCCGCGCTCCCGCGAGAGCCCGCAGCTGCACGAGCACGAGCCCCTCGGGCCCGAGGGCGGCCCCCCGTCGCCGGCCGGGACGCCCCCGCAGCCCAAGCGGCCCCGCCCGGCGGCGACCAAGGACCGCCTGGCGAGCCCGGGCGCCTGGAACGGGGACCACGGCGCCCAGGGCAGCCGGCCGCTCACGCCGTCCGAGGGCGCGGGTCGCCGCAGCCCTGCGCGGCCGCCCACCGAGCACATGGCCATCGAGGCGCTGCAGCCGCCGCCCGCGCCGTCGCAGGAGCCCGAGGTGGCGCTGTACCGGGGCTACCACAGCTACGCCGTGCGCACCGCGCCGCCCGAGCCGCCGCCCTTCGAGGACGAGCCCGAGCCCGAGGCCTCCGGGCCCGACTCCGCGCCGCCGTCGCCGGCCGCCGCCCCGCCGCGGGCCCCCGAGCTCCCGCCCGAGTCCCCGCCCGAGTCCCCGGCCAAGCTGGAGCCCAAGCCCATTGTCCCTAGAGCCGAGCCCAAGGCGAAGGCCCGCAAGACGGAGGCCCGAGGGCTGACCAAGGCGGGGGCCAAGAAGAAGTCTCGGAAGGAGGCGGCGCTGGCAGCCGAGGCCGAAGTGGAGGTGGAGGAGGTGAGGCTGGGGGCAGAAGGGCGTGTCCCAGCTCTGGTCCCCGTGGGTGCTTGGGCTCCACGTGGGATTCCAGTGCGGGGGGATTTGGGGGTGGGAAGGGTCATGACACAGGATGGGGCAGGGGAAAACCGCAGCAGGGATGTGGGCTTCGTCAAGTATAGCCTCATCAGGACCTGGTAGCATGAATCCCGGCCGAGTCCCCCCAACCTTGGGACAGGGGGCGGGCCTTTGTGCCTGCGCTCAGGTCAGCAGGGGGCAATGCTTTGGAGAAGAGGGTGCCGGGGAGCCCTAAGCAGCTAGGGAGGAATGAGCGCACCTGGGGAACTAGGGCGATCTGAGCGGAGCACCAGCAGCATCTGCAGCAAGGTGTAGCAGGGAGGGCTTCCTGGCAGTGGAGGAAGGACGCAATAGGGCTTATTGGAGGGGGCTGGGAGCTAGAAACGCAGGGACCATGAGTGAGGCAAGGTTGTGTGGACTGATGGATGCCATCCATGGGGGAATTAGCGGAAAGGAAGGATGTTCTGGCTTCCAGGCCCAGCACTGCCCACTGTGCTTTGGGACACATCCTTGTCCCTCTCTGGACCCTAGATGGTTTGGTTACTCATTTCCCAGAATCCTTCCAGCTCTGATGGTCTGCTGTCCAGGTGCTGGACACAGCAGTGAGCAAAACGAGGGGTGTTCTCAGGAGGGTTCTTTCAGAAGTTTCTTCTCCTCTGTCCAGCCTTCTTGGGTCTTGGGTAGGGGATGTTTCCGAGGCCGTGGGAACTCAGCTTCTCTCCACTGCTCCCAGGTCCCCAACACTGTCCTTATCTGCATGGTGATCCTGCTTAACATCGGTCTGGCCATCCTCTTCGTTCACCTCCTGACCTGACCCTTGTCTACCAGGTGCGTCCCCTCCTCCCCCCACCCCCAGCAGGAGCTTTTGGAGAACTCTGGGCACCAGGGTGCTGGGGGAGGGATGTTGCCCCCTGGGCGTCAGTCCTGCAGCTAATTGAGGCCCGGCCCCCAGCAGAGGGAGGGACGACGGATTTGTGGTTTTGGTAGATCATGCCTTCCTGAACACACACACACACACATACACACACACGGACCTCGTTTGCGCTTCATGTGCAGAGCACCTGCCGCCTGTCAGGTGAGCCCTGGGGCTTCCCTCACTCACTCATTCGTCATTAATTCATTCATCTGACCACCATTTACTGAGCAGCTGCTCTGCTGGGATCTAGGGACACAGCAGGGACCCACTCCTGCGCTAAGAAATGGGGTGAAGATGAGAGTAAACCCGTAACTTACAGGTCATTATGCAGAAGTCAGACATCCAGACGTGAGGCCAAACAGACTCTCCCCAGACTCCCACGGTCTCACCGGAGCTTGCCTGAGAGGCCCTCTTCTCTCTGCCCTCCCTTTCTCTCTTGCCCGCTTCAGTCCGTAATCCCTCTGCCTCTCAGCCTCCAGTCCTCTCCCAGCCCTCCCTTCCAGAAACCCTGCTGTCGGTCAGTGGTTGCCCCGTGCTGGAACTGGGAGGGCTTGGTAAGGCCCGGTGAAAAGGAGCTGGGCTGGGCTGGCCTGGACTGAAGGAAAGTGGTTCTCATGGGTCTCAGGGTGAAGTATCCATGAGAAAGAAAATCTTTTCCCTGCCAGGACCAGCCTTCACACCACAAATCCTGCGCCTGCTGATGCTAACAGAGTTTCTGGCTCTTGCCCTGCCCCCAACCTAAGACCCCACCCCACCCCCTTTCTCAGTCCTACTTTAGTGTGGGCTGGAGGTTCCCACTCAGTCCCAGGAGAGGAGAAGGACTCCCTGTCCAGTCACCCAGTGAATAGCCAGTGACAATATTAGCCTGGTAGGTGGTGCCATGGGGCTGAGCGCTGGGCTCTGCTGGGGCCCGTGTTTCACCAGGATCTGGGCCAGTTGGCTGCAAGGACTGACACCTCATGGCCTGAAGGGTGGAAGGGCCAACCAGATGACAGCAGGAGGGGGAGGGCCAGGAGACTGTACCAGGCCAGGGGACAGCAAGGCTGGGAGAGGCCTCAGGGAGCCTCAGGGACTTGACTCTGATTCTGTTGAGTCGGGCTGCCCTGGGGACTGGGAGAGGTGGGTCCTGGCCCCAGAGGACATCCCGCCTGAGGCTTGAACCCCACCTCGGACCTGGCCCAGCCTCTTCCTTTCTCCCTCCCTCCCTCCCTCCCTCTCTCACCTGAGCCTCTCACTGTCTCTCTGCAGAGCCAGGAGTTTCTGCCGAGGGTGTGAGGGACCCACCTTTCTGCGCTACCAGGCCGGGTGGCACTGAGGTCCAGCTCGCCTCCACACCACATCTGTTTAAGGAGGCCTCCCCTGGCCCTGGCGCCGGGTGACAGAGGTGCCCAGAGGAACGGAACGTGCTGGGGATCCTCCGGAGCCCTGTGCCCAGCCTCGAAGGAAGAGCCCTGGTCTCTTGAGCGCGCCTGTCCCTCATCCTCCCCCGTTCTCTCACCTTGCCGCTGGGGTCCCCCTTCCCTGAGCTTTTGTGTGTTTTGGGAGAGGTCACTAAACCAGGATAGTAATACTAACTCCCAGCCCCTTTCCTTCCACCCCTGCTCCCTTTCTTTTAACCGCCTGGCTGCTGAGGGAGTGACAGACCCCTGGGGCGGGCGAGCCGGGGACCCAGCCCCCGACGGCGCAGAGGCCCTGCCTTGAGTGGGCTCCACGCAGCGCACACTCTGTCCCTTGCTTACAGATGTTCTGGACGACAATGGAGGAAATGGACATGCTCAGTTTGAGTATCCCGGGACCCAGTGCTCCTGTCTCCTCCCACCAGTCCAGTCAGTTTCCCTTCTGGACCAAGAGAAGAGGGGGGGACACGAGGCACTGGAGCCTGGGCCGGAAGCCAGGCTCAGGGGCCGTTGGGATGGCCCCAGTCTTTGAGAGTGCCTGAGCCCGAGGCTGCATCGCCTGGGGTTTACAGTGTGCCCAGAGCGCTAAAGGGCCACTCCACAGGAGCCCCCAGGGCCGCCAGGAGAACGCTAGCGGGATGGCCTATGAATTGGTTTGTCGGTTTCCCTCACCAGGGCCCACCGCAGCCTCAAGGGAGAATGAGCACGGAAGCCCTCGGAAGCCCGGGCAGATTTCCCTGGGGCACACTCTCAGTCAGGTACCGAAGACAGGCTGTTTGGCAACAGTCGTTTCCCAGGGAGAGAAGATTGAGTCTGGGGTCCCCAGTGGGGGTCGTCCGTTGAATACTGAGCCCCTTGGCTTGCTTGGAAGAAGATGGTATTTGCATGTAGCTCATTACAGATGTTTTGTACCACACTGGGTCTCTGGTCCCTTGTGCTTACGGCTGGGTAGAGGCTGAGGGCTCGTGGACCCCTGCACCTGGGAGGATGGAGGGAAGGGGCGTCTGGGCCCCTCCAAACCCAGGGAAGGTGGTGACAATGGCATCCAAGCAGAGCTGTGGGGATGCTCTCTCCTGCTTGTTTCTGTGGACCTTGGGGCTTTGGTGTCCAGCCTCCCCACGGCAGCTCCCCAACCTCGAGTCTGTTTCTGATGAGGTTGGCCTCGCCTTTCCCCCTCGGGCACCTTCCTCCAGCTCCGCAAGTGCTGTTTCAACCGCTGCAGCCGGGGCCTCATGGCGGGGCTGGAATCCTGGACTGCGGTTTCCCCATCCTCAGGCAGCCCGTGGCTCCGCACCCACATTCGGGCTTCTCTGGACTCCGAGGGAATGACCCGGCCGGCCTGGGGGCACTGCTCAGGGCTGGTGGGCCCCAGGCCTCGGCTCTGAGGGCATTGTCCAGGTTTGGGGCCGGCCCGGTGCTGGAGATAAGCTTCTGGGTACCAGAGCTGCGGGGCCTAGGGTTAGAGCTGGTGCTTGGGGTGAGGCTTTCGGATGCTACGGTCTGTACAGCGATAAACCTGCACCTGCTTGCGGGCTCCGGAGGGGCTGCGGTGTCTGTCTGTGGGCCCCGCCTGAGGGGCCGGCTGAAGAGCGCAGGAGAGGCTGGGGCACTTTCTTTTTCTTACAGTTCCCGTAATACCTCCTGCGGGGCAGCTGAAAGGCTTCAGGTCACCTGGGACAGATCAAAGACTTTCTAAGGCAAACTGTGAATTTTTGAAGCAGACTTCCAGAACCCTCCCTGAGCAGCGAGCCGCGTATGGTAGAAGAAGGAGCCCACCCTTTGAGGCTGGGTCTTCCTGGCCTCCTGTCCTGCTCAGCCACTTATTCTCCTCAGACCCTCAGTTTCCCCATCTCTAAACAGGGGATGTAACAGTACCTCCTCCCTCCTGAGACCATGGTGGGGATTCCACGAAACGTTGCTGCTCCTGGGGTAAAGCCCAGCTGAGGAACAGTGGAGACGTGGAGACTTGGATCATGGCCGCCGAGCACCCCAGTACCTCTTGCTCTTTGGTTGAGGACCCCAGAAGCCCCAAAGGCATGGAGACGACCCAGGTCCCAGCTAGATAGTCACAGAGCGTCTCAGTGGGGGAACCTAGAGGCCACCTTCCTTCTCTACAGAGGCCCAGAGAGGAGAGATTGCCGGAGGTCACACAGCAAGTCAGTGGCAGGAAAGCAGTTTGTCCCAACTCATTTGTGAGGAAGCACTTCCTGTGAAGATCCTCCCATAGCCGCTGCCCCATGGGACAGGGTCCCTCGCTCCTCCACCTCGCCCCTCCCCTGGCAGCTCCCAGAGTGAGTGGGGGACCAGGACTCCCCTTCTCTCCCTGGTGCCACCACGGGCTCTCTGTGTACCAGTCATTCTCCCCTGTGCCTCAGTTTCCTGTTCTGCCAAGGAGAACAGAATCCCTGCCCGTGGCTTTCTTCACAGGCAGTGCCACGAGAACCAGATGAGGGGGATTGTGGGTGGTAAACCCTGGAATGATCCAGAAATCCCAGGAAGAAGGATGGGCTCGGAGAGACCACTGGAGGCGTGGTGAGGGTAGGAAAGAGGACATGGAGGGAGCTGCTTAAATCTGCAGGGGTTCTAACAAAACCCACTGAGGGAAGGAGGGTCTGTAGACGTGTGTGTGTGTGTGTGTGTGTGTGTGTAGGAAATGGGAGTAAGGGGTGAGGGCAGAGGATGACTGCATTAGAATTACCTTGGACGGTTTGAAAAGAAGGCTTATTTGGAGGATAGGAAGGGGGAAATTAAAAAAAGAAAAATGTCATTTCCAAGCCCTGTAGGAGCCAGGGAGGGTTGGTCAGAGTCGGGCGCCCCCTGGTGGCTCAGGCGCGCACACGGACTGTCCCAGTCTTGGCCAGTGGCCACTCTAGGAAGTTTGGCCCCTGCTCTGCCATGTCCAGGCTTCATTTAAGGTGTCTTGTGCCATAGGGGAACTTGAAACCACCCCGTGGGCATTGCCAGGGCCTATGACCACTGACCACTATCCTGGGGTCTTGGCAAGAAGCTTCCAGGGCAGTGGGAAAGGTACTCAGGGACCTCTCTGTTGGGGTATCTGGGAAGAAGGAACTTCAGTTTGCTGGGAAAAGAGCCCAGGATCCTTTAAGGAGGCATGTGAGCAGGGGGAGGAGGAACGGGGCTGCTGTGGGACTTGCTGCTCCAGAGAGAAATGGGAGGGGGCCCTGCACTCCGTACCCCAGTCTAGCCTCGGGTCCTCCAGCCTCTGGGGACGGCTCAGCAGCTGGAGGGCAGGGCTCTCTACCCAGGAAGACTCCCTCAGTGGGCTCCTCATCCCCTTCTGGTCCCTGAGAAGGAAGTCACCTCTCCCGGAAGAAAAACAAGTGGGGTAAAGGGTGTGTGTGGAGTGGGGGTCCAGCTGGTGATAACGACAGTACAAAGTGTCCCCCATCCGCGGTACCCCCTTAGCCCCTCCTGTCTGGGAGGAAAGTAGCTGATACACTCATCCTCACTGGGGTGTTTGAAAGTTCCAGGGGAATGTTCACTGTAAAAGACGAGTCTGGATAGAGCAATGCTTAATCAAAGGAAGACTTTGCTCTGGCGAGATTTCAGGTATCCACAGGGGGGTTATTTTCTTGATCAGGGACTCCAAGGCAGAGTAACCCCTCCTCAGTTCCACCCAATAAAAGAAAAAAGTAACAGACGTTCATCTGTTTCTCCTCCTCACAAGATGGAAGGATATTGGCCGCGTGGATCTAGTGGTGTTCTGAGTGCTAGGATCGCGCTGCCATGGAGCTGGCGTTGTGCTAGGATCCTGCTAGGATCACAGCCAGTGCTTACTAATGACCATTAATATCACTTGCCTGCCTGGAGATATTATATTGTCTCATGAAGTTGTCAGAGCCACCCCATGGGATCATAATTGTCGGAGGTGCAGAGATGGAGGGTAGGGGTGGAGGTGAGTGACTGTCGCCTACTCGCACATGGCAGAACTGGATTCAAACCCATTGTCAGACCAGAAGGCACAACTGGGCTCCTAGCCATTTCCTTTGGCCAGTTATGCGCTGCAGGGACCGAGTGTGACCACCGGGGGGCGCCATGGCTCCACATGCGAGCGGTCTCATCCGTTTGCTCGTGAGAAGGAAGGCTGCTTTTATAAAAACTGCATCACTGTCGCTCTCCTCTGAGTCACCACAATAATGACAGGTCCTGTAACTTCAGCACCTCCTACGTGCCGGACCCCACACTGAACACTTCACGTGCACTATTGCGCCTGTTTGTCACACCAGCTCTATGATCTGAAACACCACTGTGTTTTGCAGATACAAGGCCAAGATTCAAAACCAGCTCTGTCTTCAAGGCCCATCTCTTAACCATGCCTTCCGCAGAAGGCACCAATTCGATGCCCAGAGGCTGCATCTGGCTGGCAGGCCAGTTTTGCTTCGGCCAGCGCGGTGTTTTAAAAAACACGCTGAATTCAAATGCTTTTTGGCAGGGCTGTCACTTTCCACTGAATCACACCCCAAGTCGTCTGTTATCTGTTTCATTCCTTTGTTTATGTTGCCTGCCCAACTCTGGGGTCATCTGAATTTGCAGCTCCATTTCCGCTAACAACATTTCAGGGACTGGAATCAGAAGATGTAGAGAAAAAAACAAGGCGGGGAGCTTGGAGGTTTAGGGAGGCACAGCTGGGAGAGATGCCAGATGGTTGTGGCCCAGGCTCATTCCGGGGATGGGGGGGCGGCTCTCCCCTGACATGTCCACGAACCGAGTCTGAACCCGAGTCTGAACCGAGCTGTTCCGGTGTGTATGGCCCTGTGCCAGATGTTGGGCCTCCCGGGACTGCCGGTGGGGCGCGGGAGCCAGCTCTGGTTCCCTTTGACTTGACGATATTCCTCCCAGCGGAGTGGTCTGGCTTCCTCACACACCCAGGCAGAATCCTTCCAGAACTGGGTCTCGGACGGTTCCCCTTGGCTTGGCCCATGAGCCCATGGTTGGACTTGACCCTCGCTGCAGAGTTTCTAATCAATACCAGCCACCCGGACTGTTAGGGCTGAGCCGGGTCTCCCTGGTAATTCATATGTCGGAGCCCAAACCCCCTGTACTTCAGAATGTCCCTGTCTTTAGAGACAGTTCCTTTATAGAGGTGATTCAGATAAAATGAGGCCATTGGGTGGGCCCTCATCCAACTGGACTGGAGTCCTTACAACAAGAGGAAATTTGGTCACAGAGGGGACACGAGGGGCTCTGCAGGGAGGAGAGACCATGTGAGGACACGAAGAAAGGCAGACGTGGGCAAGCCAGAGAGAGGAGCCTCAGACGACCCCAACCCCGCTGACGACACTTTGACCTTGGCCTTCCAGACCCCAGAGTGTGAGAGAATAAATGTTGTTGAAGCCCCCCAGGCCGCGGCGTTCGGTTACGGCGCCCCCAGCAACCTGCCCCCCGCCCAACCCCCGTCTCCGTGGCGGTGGGCTGGCTCGGGGCTTGGACAAGGGCTGGCTCGGGGCTTGGACAAGGGCTGGCTGAGCTGCGGACGCGGGCGTCGCCGAGGAGCCGGCCTGAGAGGAGGACCCAGGGACCAGACACGGCACAACCACCACCCCCCTGCCCTGTGCCAGACCCTTCCAAGGAACAATTCCCTGGCCTGCTTTGTTCCCCACATTCCCCTCCTATCAGGGATGGGAGCCACCATTTCTTCATGGACAAGAGCACCAGGGAGCCAAGTCCTGCCTTCTGCTTTCGCAACACGTGCTCTAGGAGTAAGACCCAAGCTGGAGCGGGGAGGCAACCTAGCAGGCTGCGGGGCGGGAGGGTCCAGCACAGGCGTCCCAGCAAGT